GACCACCCAAATATATCAGGTCCTAATCTCAGGAACCTATAAATGTTACTTTATTTAGAAGGGTGGGGGGAAAAAGAGTTTTACAGATGTGATTAAGTTAAGGATCTTGACGGGGCACCTGGGTGGCTCAGATTGTTAAGCGTCTGCCTTCAGCTCAGGTCATGATCCCAGGGTCCTGGGATCGAGCCCCACGTCGGGCTCCCTGCTCAGCGGGGAGCCTGCTTCTCCCTCTCCCTCTGCCTCTCCCCTGCTCATGCTCGCTCTCTCTCTCTATCTCTCTGTCTCAAATGAATAAATAAAATCTTTAAAAAAAAAAAGTTAAGGATCTTGACATGGGGGGGCAGACCCTAAATACCATCACAGGTGTTACTTAGAAGAGAGAGGCACGGAGTGAGTGGACATATGCACAGACAGAAGAGGAGAAGTGACCGGGGAGGTAGAGAGTGGAGGTGAAGCAGCCACAAGGCAGGGTGGGCCAGGAGCCACCAGGATGGGGAAGGGGCAAGGAACACGTTCTCCCTGAGAATCTCAGGAGGGAGTGCGGCCCTGTCGACACCTTGATTTTGAACTAATGGTCTGATTTCAGACTTCTGGCTCCCAGAACTGTGGGAAAAGGAATTTCTCTTTTTTAAGCCACCAAATTTGCGACAACCTGTTATTACCGCAGCCCCAGGAAATTAATTTAGGTGCCCACTTGTCTCAACTGCCTATCTTATGATCTGTGGTGTAGGTGATGCCTAGATCAAAGGGTCCTTGACCTCTCTCCTTACTGGCAGTTAATTACCAAGCTGAGCAGAAACTTTTCTTACATTACTAGAAAGTTATACTTGAGAAACTGGAGTTTGAGGGAACACAGAAACAAAGATAATATGCTTAACTAGTACTCACTCTGTAAGTTCCTGGTATATATATATTTTTAAGATTTTATTTATTTATTTGAGAGAGATGGTGAGAGAGAGCAGGAGCAGGGAGAGGGAGAAGCAGGCTCCCTGTTGAGCAGGGAGCCCAACACCGGCTCCAACCCAGGACCCTGGAATCATGACCTGAGTTGAAGGTAGATGCTTAACTGACTGAGCCACCCAGGGGTCTCATTCTTGGTATGTTTTCATCTTTGTCCTTAGTCCTGGAATAAGAACTGAATAAGACAGGATCCTTGTCCTTGAGGAGGTTGATGGGGGGAATTAGACATACACACATACAATGAAATTAAAAATCTGTGGAAAATGCAGTAATGATCATGTGCACGGAGTATTAGGAACACACTGAAAAGTGCACAGACTACAGGATGCATCTGCATGAGCACGCAGGAGAAGGGAGCTAGAAAAAGTTTCCTGGCAAAGGCATGCCTCTGAACTGACACATAAAGGAGGGAGTAATAAAGCAGGCCAAAGGGGTAAACTTTAATCATTTTTTTCCCCATGGATTTCATACTCTGAAGGAAACTATCTACCTTAGACAGTGTTTATTAAGTAACAAATAACAGATCAAAAACATCTCTAACTGCCAAACAGGTTATAATCAGCATAGGGTGGTCACTTCTATTTTCCTATTATTTAAGCCAACAGCAAAGGTATTTGTTGTCATTGATTTTTTTTTCCTGTGAAGTCTTTTCCTAGCAAGAATGTAATTTGTTTCTTTCATTATGATTTTTGGAATGCTGATACAACCACAGAACTCTCTCCTCATTTCTTTCAAGGACAGGCTTTCCTATCTTGGTAAAGACAGTAACTCCTTGCACTAACCCATCTGGCCTAGAGAAAATATTGAAAAGAACCTCATTAATGAGAGTTCCTGCATAGCAGGGCAATAGCTCTGTCCCCTGAGGATAGCTTGCAGGATTGTTTCCTTGTAAGGCAAAGTACACAGTCAGATCCTGGGCCCCTTCTACAGAACTCCTACAAGATAATAGGGATCAATGTAATAATCAACATGTGCATAGCATTCTATCATTCTACAGAACACAAAAGTATCTGATTATGGGCTGTTAGAAATGAAAGCAAATCCTGTTTTGCCATCCCAAGCAAGTTTCTCTTCTTTTTTGATTTTTTTAGTCTTTATTGTAATGTTAACATTTTCCAGCTTTATTGAGATCTAATTGACATATAACACTGTGTAAGCTTAAAGTGTTGGTTATGTTGATTTGCTGTTGAATATGTTGATTTGATATTTATCTATTGTGGTATGATTACCATTGTAGCTTAGCTAACACCTCCATCACCTCATATAATTATCCTTTCTTTTCTGTGGTGAGAACATTTAAGATCTACTCTCCTAAACACTTACAGATAGTATATATTACAATATTGTTATTTATAATCATTGTGCTGTATATTTCATCTCCAGAGCTTACTCATCATATAAGTGGAAGTTTGTACCCTTTAACCAACATCTGCCCATTTCCCCCACCTTCTCAGGTGAGTTTAATCTCTTTCAGTTTCAGTTTCTTTATCTCTAACGTAGGGGCACTGACTTCCACTGGGAGAGCTATCAAGTGAATTAAGTGAGATTTTAAGTATGAAGTACCAAGGACAGTGACTGACAAGTAGTAGGTACATGGTAAGAGCTAGATCCATTATTTTTGTCTTTTTTTTCCCTAGAAGTAGCTGAACTTTAAAAAAAAAATTGTCTTTGACCATCAATAAGGTGAAAAGACAACCTATGGAATAGGAAAAATATTTGCAAACCATCCATCTGAAAAATATATAAAGAACTCATACAACTCAATAGCAAAAAATAAAAAGAACTCATACAACTCAATAGCAAAAAATATAAAGAACTCATACAACTCAATAGCAAAAAATAAAACCAAACCAAAACAAACAAAAAACCCAAGCAATTAAAAAGTGGGCAAAGGGCCTGAACAGATCTTTCTCCAAAGAAGATCCATGAAAGACCAACATGTATATGAAAAGATGCTCAACATCACTCGTCATTAGGGAAATGCAAATTAAAATCACAATGAAATATCATCCCGTACCTATTAGAATGGCCATCAACAAAAGACAAGACAAGGCATGGTTATGAAGAAAAGGGAATCTTTGTGCACTGTTGGTGGGATTGTAAATTGGTGTAGCAATTATGGAAAAAGTATAGAGGATCCTCAAAAAAATTAAAGCTAGGACTACTATATGATCCAGCAATTCCATTTTTGGAAATATATCCAAAGAAAATGAAAACACTAACTGGAAACAATATCTGCACCCCCATGTTTATAGCAACATTATTTACACTAGCCAAGACATGGAAAGAACCTACGTGTGCGCTGATGGAATATTATTCAGCCATAAAGAAATGAAGAAATACTACCATTTGTGACAATGTGGATGGAACTTGAGGTCATTATGCTACATGAAATAAGTCAGACAGAGAAAGACAAATAGTGTATGATCTCACTTATCAGTGGAATACAAAACTCCCACAAAAACAAAAACCAAAAAAAAACCCCCCAAAAACAAAAAAAACACAACTCATAGAAAAAGAGCTCAGACTTGTGGTTACCAGAGATAGAGGATGGGAGGAGGGGGTATTGAAGGAAGATGGTGAAAGGTACAAACTTCCAGTGATAAGATAAATACTAGAGATATAGTACAACATGATGACCATAGCTAACACTGCTGTATGATATGCAGGAGTTAAGAGAGTAAATCCTAAGAGTTCTCATCCCAAGAATTTTTTTTTTCCTTTTTATTATATCTATATGGGAAGATGGATGTTAGCCAATCCTATTGTGGTAATCATTTCACAATACATATAAACCAAACCATCATATTGTATGCCTTAAACTTATACTGTGATGTGTGCCAATAATTTCCTAATAAAACTGGAAAAAAAAAGAACTAGATCAATTAAGTCAAGAAAAAATGTCTTTTGTTTTACTATTTTTCCATTGCTTCATTCCTCTCAAATTTTGGCTAGAACCAAACCATTTTGCTGGACCCTTTTTACCTACCATCTACTGAACTTAGGGCTCTCAGACAGTTACTTAGAGGTGTAATGTGAGGAGTACCAGGGTGTCCCAGAATTTGACCTTCCCCAGTGGTGACTCTTCTTGTGTTCCCTGTGTGGTCTTTTTTTGGCTCCTCTAGGTATCACATGGGAATTACAAAGAACAGAGTGCTATTTATAAATAATATGCTTCCTAACCCCAGAAAGATTTAAAGCAGTTTTCAGGATTTGATCATGCATGAAACAGGAAAGTCCTTTATCACAGAGAAATGACAGACTGCTAGAAAGTGAACTGCATGAAATGAAACCCACACTTGATATGGATTAATTCAAGTTTCGAACGGAGGGTTGCTGTCATTAATCAGTCCATAAAATTAATTGCTGTAGTAAGAGAAGATTTTATGATATTTTAGTTTTAATTACATATTATGGCATGTGTTGTAAAGTGGACTTTGTTAAAAACAAAAAAAGCTTGAAAGCCATGAGATTAGGCTACTAGTGGTTTACCTTTTCTGCCACTTGTTAGTTGTTAAAGTTTGGAAAATTCCTGATTTCATAAACTTTTGTTGAACACTCAACTTTGCATCAGACATTCTTCTATATGAATGATTTTCCCCCCTTTCCTAATACTGATAATTTGCGGTGTAGGATAGGTAGCCTGTGTCAATCCCATACTCTTCTCACCCTTCGCCAGGCCTCTGGTGGAAGTTTGAGGGGATTCCTATTACTAAACAGATTTTGATACTAGGTAATAAAACGCACTTTTCCGAACAGGGAATCTGAGCTTCCCTAAAGCCCCCTGAGAATTACGTTAGCTTTAACCATTATACCGCTGGCCTCTTTTTATTCAGAATTTTCTTCAAAGCTTTGCTTTTGAATGTGGGTTGGCGTAGGGGTGAGGGACTGAGAAGAGGGAGGTAGAGGAAAGCTTTAGGTAAGGGGTTGCGAGGCGCTTGTTGGGGGTGGGATGAGTTGCTGAGGATGGGCGGGAGAAGGCGGACGCTCGTACACAAAAGGCTATTTCCGGCTCAAATTTCCTTACGGAGGCTCTTTGAGTTGAACTTTTTGGGGGGAAAACGACCCGTGCCAAAGAACTAGGTGTGTGCGAGTGTACGAGGGTGCGGCGGGGTTCCCCACTAGGGCATGGGTATCATTCTCCACATCTTTTTCGGTCTCTGCAAGCCGCGCCGGCCGGGCTGACGCTGCGGGGGACGCCTCCCGGTTCCCAGCCGGGACATCCTGAACGGCAGCAGCCGCAACAACAGGCTCGCCCGCAGACAAAGGGGCGGGCGCGGCGGGCGCGCTCCGAGCGCCGGGCCGGGGTGGCCGAGGGCGCAGCACAGACCCCGCGC